ACACATATCCATGAGTCAAGGTATTTTTTCTTAAAAGTCTTTTAATAGCAATAATTTTCTTAGAACTCGATATCATAGTATATATTTTTTTATTAGATATATTTGTAGGTACATTTCTAATAACGCCTGTAACTTCTGTTGAAGAAGCAGGAATACTGGCCTTAAAATGGTAGTCATTTAAAAAAGTTTTATTATTTAAAAAAGCATTGGCTAAGTCTGGCTTTTGAAAGTATACTCCGATTTTGAATTTATTTATAGATCTAAGATAAGTTACCCCTTTATTAAATCGTTTTAAACAGGAGGAGAGTGAGAGCAAGTCTCTGGATCCAATGGTTTTCTGACTATCTGAGGATTCTACAAAGACAACAAATTCTGTCCCAGGGGATTCCTCGGGATATCTTCTAATATAATCTGTGACGTAGTAAGGTTTATACTTATCGGCCTTATCAATTTCAGATTCTGAGTCAGTAGAAGTATCTTCCGAATATATATCCTTGTCATTACAAGGTTCATGGTCTACATCACCTGAATCGTCATCTTTTTTTTTTCCTTTTTCTACAACTGCGCTTCCCCATGAATGCTAATTATATTACTGTCGCTGAATTTAGTGAAAATATAATATTTTATTCAATAATAAGAATTGATAGAGATAGTTTTAATAAATTAATAAAAAAAATTTAAAAAACCCGCTTGTTCTTATTCGAGTTTCCCGCCTTTTTTTCATAATCAACAGCAATTGGATTGTCATCGCGCTAATGACAGCTGTCAAAGCCGTCATTCATGATACTGACATATTAAAAATATGGAATTTACGGCTCTGGCTTCCTGCTTCACAGTCATAGTCACTGCCATTGCGGGGCACTAAGATGACCCTCAAACTTTTACATATTACATAAAATATATTACAACACTATTATGTTTACTTTCTTAATCTATGCCACATAACATTTGCAAGGAATCAATGCCAAGGTTTAACCGATCGGACGGCGACGGTAATCAGCGACATTTAATCCGACATGTGTAGCCGACCGGGGAATCGAACCGACGGCCATGAGGGAACAACGTTGTGAGAGAGATTAAATATGGAAATATATAGACAAAGACTTTTAAAGTTGTTTATTGATTACTAGCTGTATCTCGTGGCTCTGCCTGCGTGAATCAGTACATTATTATCCTATGTTGTAAGTTAGAATATAATCTACCCGTGTACCAGATTTCATTCAAATCCGTTCAGTAGTTTTTGCGTGAAAGATTAACAAATATCCTTCCATCAATCCATTCATCGTTACAAATATTCGCATTTTTTTTATTAATAGGATGTTTAAATCAATTAAATATTTTCATACTGTCTTAACAAACTTTTCCTTGTTTAATTTTTTTTATTCACTTATTTCTAAGAAGAAATGTGAAAATTTGTGAAAATGTTTGTATTACAATATGACTGATGATTTTTGAAATGATATTTTATTGTATGATGAGATCATACAATAATACAGTAAATAAAATTTTAACCACATTTGATTAATCGATATCATTAAAATTCATCATTTTGTGCGTTTGTTTGTTTATGTAACCTTAAACTCCAGAACTGAACTCATATTAGTTGTTTACGTTTCCTTCGAGCTCCAATCGCATTAATCACTGCTATAGATAAATTTAGGCATAGATTATTATTTAAAAACAAAATAAACAATGACTAATTAATATTTACTACCTCCAACACGCGGTTTTGTCTACATTCGTGTTTCAACCGTAAAGCAGTTGTGTTTGCATGGCTATGTTTCGGTTTGAAGGGTGGGATATGGCAGGAATTTACAGGGTACAGAGAAATAACACCTGAGTCCTCAGGAATGAAGGAGGGTGAAACAGTATATTCTGTTACGTCCATGATACTGCTCATGTCTATAGGCGACGGTTACCACTTTCCATTAGGTGGGCCGTCAGCTTGTTCGTCATTAAATGTTGTATAAAAAAAAAAGTTAACGAAACGTCATCTTTTTGCAAATAATATATAATACAAACTGTATCAATACTTTTATTTTTTTGTCGGTTATGTAAACCGTTATATATGTATAAGTTTTAAATTATATATACTTGAGACTCCACTATGCTTAATTTAGAGCTAAATATTTATAAGTAAAACACTTGGAGGTTATACCTAAATATTTATAGCTAAGTATAGACTATGAGATAGTGTCCTAGATTCACACTGAGATACAAGTTTTAATAAAATGTTCCGAATTTAAATATAGACTAAAGTTATTATTAAGGACAAGGCACGAGTCATCATATCATATCAGATTAGTAGACGTAAAAGCTGATACGATGATGATGATCGAACTGCCCACCTGATGGAAAGTGGTAACCGTCGCCAATAAACATGAGCAGTACCATGGACAAAACAGAGTATACTGTTTCGCCCATGAGGGGTATCCATGCGTTGCCATTCCTGAGGACTCAGGTGTTATTCCTCCGTATCCAGTAAATTCACGCCATATCCCACCCTTCAAACCGAAACACAGCCAAGCAAACACAACTGCTTTACGGTTGAAACACGAATAGGACAGAGTTAGCCGAGCAATCGACTTTTGTACAAAGTCTCCCTCTGGTAAATAGATTTAGAATCAATAGATTAAGAATAATAGTACACAGATAGATATTTTGCTAACACTATTACGTTAGGCGTTTTTGACCAAATATAGTCGAAAATAATTGATTATGTAATAAATTATGTATTTTATCGAAAATTACGTATTTTTATAGTTTTCAGTACAAATTACATTATTGTAAATCAATAATTAAGATTATCATTACGATTTCATAGAATAAAGGCAATACAAAACATTGGCTACTAAAACTAATAATTTATAGCCTATACAGATTTGATATATGTACATATTAGTTACCATTAAAACGAATTTATCGATCCATTTATCTTCCTATAGGGACAGGAGCAAAAAATGGCGCATCCTGTCTATCCGGCAGGATTATTGTAATGAAATAAATCTTTTAAAACAGGTACGTACTTGTAGAAAATGAGGGCAGAAAATAAGAAATTAAAAATAAACTACGGGATCAGCAATTATCAGAAAGATATTTTTCACAAAAATAAACAATCTGAAATGACAATGGTCTAGTCATATAGCTATCGATATCATATAACTATCGATGGAGAAGAAAAATTCTTGAGTGGCGACCTCTTACGGGCAAACACAGTACAGGTCGACCCCTACTGGATGGGACGACGACTTGAAATGCATTGCAGGGAATTAGTGAATGCTGGTGGCTCAAGACCATTTGTTATGGCAATCTACGGGTATAGCAAATGTGGCAAAAACATGGTCCGTCTGATGGCAAGTTGCAATCGTTTCCTACGAACATTTGCAATACTAGAACCATCACTCGATGGCAATGTTTTAGCTGCCATAAACATTATAAATCACAGAACCTAGTAATACTGCATATCATTTATATATATTTCGTAATAATAATATATTTAGTAATATCTCCAAAGCCTAATTGCGGTTGCCAGTCCGCCTGCCAAGCGTGGCAACTACTGGCATCCTCCTCCCCCAAATGGAAGGCTTATGTTCAGGAGTAGATACTTAAAGGCTGATATGACGATAATGTTTTAAACATAACATACAAGCGGGTTGCTTGGTGGGAATTATTTTATGAATTAAATACTTGTTTGAATCGAAGCATTTGGCGTTCCATTGTTTCTGCCTAACCTAATGGGAGACAGGCGTGACAGATATGTATGTATGCATGTAAATACTTAATGTGAATATTAAGTAATAAGACTATTGCATGCTGGACCCGTATCATAAGATAGCTTTTATATGTATAAAAAGATAAACGTTTCTATATGTGTGAAATTTTAAACTACTATAATGCAGTTTTAAAACAATAAAGTCTAATATTGAGACAAAGACACCCTTCTGTGCTTACTTACTTACAGAGACGTTTATTCCACTACTTTATTTATATTACATAATATATAAGTTACTACGAATATAATGAAATAGTCCAATATTTCATTTACATATTTAGGAAACATACTTTCACTTGTAGAACTTTTACGCCCCCGTATTGCCCCTAGAGCTGGCCCTGTTTACACAGAGTTTTCTTATCTTAAAATATTAATTAAAATCAGCAAAACGCAGATGGCATAAACCCGACCGTCGCAGGCACTATATCATAGTCCTTAGCTTATCGATGAAACTGGCAACATTTTAATAGCTAATATATTTTTTTTTTCAATTATTTTGTTAGAAAATGATAATTAAATTAGATATAAATATCGGGACATCATTTAATTAGTATTTTATATGTAATATTCAAGTGAAATATTTATTTTTAAAGGAACTGGGCAACTAACAGCTTTTACAGTAAACAAACTATAGACTTACTCGTATATACATACTTAATTGTATAGCCAATAATGCCAAAATTGGGGACAGGATTAACAGGAATCAGTTTATCATCATCATCATCATCATCATCATCATCATCATCATCATCATATCATCCTTTAACTGATCACTGCTGAACATAAACCTCTCCTTTGGACGATTTGCAGATGGATTGGCAACCGCAGTCAGGCCTGGGAAAATGGATGGCCGGGAGTAATGGGGGCAAATGAGCACCATTATTAGCAATGTACCCTATCAGGTCGCCTCCACGTGGTTCCCCCTGGAAACCATCATGGCTAATTCTAGTTGAATTCGTCAGGATGGGCTAACAGACCTGGTTTCATCCAGCCGGCATCCCTCACCCTCCCTTAGTCGCCTCTTACGACACCCACGAGAAAGGAAGGGGTGGCCTATTCTATGCTAAAACCACACGCTTGTAATGTAAAACAATGGAATTGCTAAACATGCGTTTTTATGAATAACATAATACAGTTACAGTTAAGTTCAACGCTCGTCCGGTAAATAAGGAATGTAGCATACGGAAATATCATGTTTATAATAAATCAGGATGTTTGTAAACATTACCAATATCTGGCGCTGTAGTGAAATATGGCTCCTTTTCATCGCCCGTTTCGAAATGAGTCTCATCATCATCGTCATCACATTATCAGCCCGCTGTAATTCACTATACCAGGGTTTCTTAAACTTTTTGCAGTCACGGACCATTTTTACAACATAAACAATTCTACGGGTCCCTGTTAAAAAACATTTCAGTTAGTTCCTAAAAACTAGGGAAAAAAGTGTGTTCTATTATTATCCATTAAGAAAAAAGTCCTAAATAAATACAAAAGTTTGCGAGAATGGATTGATGTTTGTTACTCTTTCATGCAAAAATCACAGAACGTAATTGAATAAAGTTTTGCACACGAATAGCATACGACCCACCTGATGGAAAGTGGTAACCGTCGCCTATAGATATGAACAGTACCATGGACATAACAAAGTATACTGTTTCACCCATAATACGCTCTATACGTTGCTATTCCTGAGGACCCAGATGTTATTCCTCTGTACCCTGTAAATTCACTGCCATATCCCACTCTTCAAACCGAAACACAGGGAGAAAGGGATTGTTAGAAATGCGGATAACCAATCCTATTGCTAGCAATATACCCTGTCAGGTCGACCTCCACATTGTTCCCTCTGGAAACTATCGTGCTGAATTCCAGATATATTCATCACGATGGGCTAACTGACCTGCTTTTTCATTTTCGCCAATCATTCCTCACTAGTACTCCGCCAGCGTATACAGTTAGCTCAGGCGTCGGGGTTACCTAATCTCCCAATAAAAAAAGAACCGAAACAGCCATGCAAACAACTGCTTCATGGTAGAAACATGAATGGGACAGAGGTGCATACGCAAACGATTTTTGACAAAGTTTCAATGTTATAAATATTCTCCTTAATAAATAATAAAGTTATACTCTAGGCTAGTCCTCGTCACGAATTATCGTATCGCGGTTTAATGAATCACTATGAAATTTGGTATACACGTATTATAAGGAATGGAGAAAAATTTGGGTTGATTTACTTTTTATCTCGGTAAGTGAACATATCGCGGTCACGCGGACAATGTTGCGTGTAAAAACTAGTAATGTATAAAAAAAAACCACAATAACCGCGCGGGATTATCCGAGGCAAAGATATTTTTATACTTCAGAAGAAGTTTATTATTTTTAAAACTGACTTTGTTGTTTTGAAGCAGCGAGTCATTTTTTATTCTATTTTTAATTTATAAACGGTCGCTAAAACTGCATTTGTTTTCGACACGCGTAAAGGTTAAAATAAAACGATTACTTGAAATAAGAGCAGAGTTAACTCGCAAAGCACACGGCAAACATCAACATGCAAGGAGCAGAGTAAAAATATAAACAATCGATTGTAAATCGAGTTGCAATCGAGTCGACATTCCGTGCCGCTTTGTTCTAAAAGGAACTCGGCGTGCGTTATCGAAGGTATAAACTTATGATTGGTTAGTTATAAAATCTTACCATTATGTGCACGTGCCATGGAGTTTATTGAGTAACAAACTATAAAATTGGTGGAATATAAACATTCAAATATGGCGACGGCTTTAATTTCAGATGTATTCTTATGGCACTACAGTTATTGTGTTAAAAATTACACCGGTTCAATAACAACGAATTATCATCATTTCAGCCATTATTCATTCACTGTTGGACATAAGCCTCCCCCATAGACAGCCTCACTTTGCGTGTTCTACCGCTTATACAACGGATTGTGCTCAGAGGAATTATTCAATATGATGCCTGCGGCCACTTTCAATCATCGTACGGCTCGCCATCGACAGGGAGTTCACCCTCATACCTTACAGCCTAAATGGTCGCGTACAACGCGGTGTCAGAGATGTTTTCTCCCACGAACACTCAGGTTATGGAATGAGCTCCCTGCCGAGGTTTTCCCAAGAGACAGCATGGGGTTCTTCAAAAGGGGAAAAAGATGTTTTTTCAGGGTCGGCAACGCGTGCGTAATACCTCTGATATTGCAGGCGTTCATAGGCTACAGTAACCGCTTACCATTAGGTGGGCCGTATGCTTGTTTGCCACCTCAGTGGTATAAAAAAAAAATAAAGAATGGTCCTGAGCCACCTGCAATATTGCAATACCATATCTATATGTTGACCCAATAACGGATATATACTTAGATTAACAAACAAACTGACAGTCTACCTGACGGAAAATGGTGAACGTCACCCACAGCTATGAAGAGCATTGTAGATATCACAAAATGCGTTGTGAAGTCCCTGGTTCATATAAACACCTCATTCGTTGGTATTTTTAAGGACTATGATTTTACGTACCCTGACCAGACGGAAACTTTGTACAAAAGTCATTTGCTTGGGCACCTCTATCCCATTCGTATTTCTACCGTGAAGCAGTTGTGTTTGCATGGCTGTGTTTCGGTTTGAAGTGTAAGGGTATGATAGTGAACTTACAGGGTACAGAGGAATAACACCTGAGTCCTCAGGAATGGCAACGCATGGAGGGTATCATGGGCGAATCAGTATACTCTGTTATGTCCATGGTACTGCTCATGTCTATAGGTGACGGTTCCCATTTTCCATCAGGTAAGCCGTCAGCTTGTTTGCCACTCTAAACTACTCAATGATATTTTGAGCCAGTATCCGCAATTGGACGTATTTGCCTCCAACTTGCTGGAGTTTCGTCGAATGATCACAGAGTATTTGTGGTCAGACGTTTTTTGTTTGAGTTAAATCTTTTTATATTATTTTTTGTGTAATATTCCTTTTTATATGTTATTGTACTCATGCTTTCCTGGGTGAGCATATTGGAAGACTGTAAGGCTCACCCAGTGGATCTAATAAATAAATAAATAAATAAACCCTTGTTATTTTATTATCATATTCCACCTTCAAACACAGTCAAGCACAACTATTACACATCAGAAACATGTGTGGTGCAGAGGTGCTCAGGCAGACGACCTTCCTAGTCTCCCTTTGATCTATCAAATTTTGATGTCGACTGTACCTTCGTCTGATTTAAAGTTATTTACTCGACATACCGACGTCCTTACCACAGATTATATAACACCAGTACCTTAACGAACTACTTAAACCTGTTTTATAAATATACCAAGGTTACAGGGCAAATGAACTTCGGTGGAACAAATATTATGTAGTAACTTAATTCGCTCGAAGCCTACTTATTTCCTTTAGAAGTTATACAATCTATACATATCCTACGGCTTTGCTTGATTAGAATATCTTAAAATATACGATTTAATGGGGAAAAGGATTGATAGTAATGCCATATCAATATGCCCATATCGGGTCAACCTTCACGCGATTTTCCCTGGAAACTATCATAGTTCTCCCTATAGAATAGAATATATATTTGTATATAGTATTTTTTCATTCACTCATTCATATTGAATCTGTAAATGGGTCTTCTGCATAAAGAATGTTTGGCAGTAGTTGTCACGCTTGGCAGTCGTGTTGGCAATTGCAGTTAGGCTTTAGATGATGTTTTAAGAGGCACGAGATATTTGGTATCGACGGTAACTAATTGTAAGCAGAAATTTTGCCCCAATGATGCCAGCTTAACTTGATACAACATTTATATGTAACATATAGAGTTATGTTATCAAAATATGCCTTTTTGTTAAGAAATGCATAGATATATACAGAGGGAGACTTAATACAAAAGTCGATTGCTTGGGTACCTCTGTCCCATTCGTGTTTCAACCGTAAAGCAGTTGTGTTTGCATGGCTGTGTTTCGGTTTGAAAGGTGGGATATTGCGTGAATTTACAGGGTACAGAGGAATAACATCTGATTCCTCAGAAATGGCAACGCGTGGGGGGTATCAGGGGTGAAACAGTATACTCTGTTATGTGCATGGTACTGCTCATGTCTATAGGCGACGGTTACCACTTTCCATCAGGTGGGCCGTCAGCTTGTTTGCCATTCTAAGTTTCATAAAAAAATGTGAAGTCCTAGTGTCTAATAAAATCCTAAAAATTTCTGACACCAGAGGGTGACACCCTAATACGATTAATATGTACAAGTTGTATGAAAAAAAAAAGATATAACTTATTTACAATTATACAGGTACAGGTAATAAATGTATTAAATTCCCCCACTCAATTCAGTTTAAAATTAACAAATTACCATCAGATTAAGCATACTCTTTGGCTGGTTAAATTGTGATAAAACTAATACATTCAGTAAGACCTATTTACTGTTTGTCAGCTAATATTTCATCGGCTAAGATAAATGCAAACGTTCATTAATATGAAAGTAGCTTATTCTTCCCCTAAAGGCTTGAATGCACTAAATCATTCCAAGGTTTACCCACAGACAGATCGTTGGATGATTAGTAACGTCTTTTGTGTCTACGAGGGCTTTGTAACACGTCATTGAATCGACATTAAAAAAGGAGAAGTTTCTCAATTCTGTTGTATTTTTTTAATGTTTGTTATCTCATTACTATTTATTTAACTGTATATTTGATTATGTACTCTAAATATTAATAGTTGTAGCACTTCAGCTGCCCGCTAACAACATGCTTCTAACTGCATTGGGTTGACTGGAAGAGATCTCTGTCAGAGATAAGTCCACCCTTGTTTACAACATTTATAAATAGATTATTTTATATGTATATATATATATATATATATATATATATATATATATATATATATATATATATATATATATATTTGATTATGTACTCTAAATATTAATAGTTGTAGCACTTCAGCTGCCCGCTAATAACATGCTTCTAACTGCATTGGGTTGACTGGAAGAGATCTCTGTCAGAGATAAGTCCACCCTTGTTTACAACATTTATAAATAGATTATTTTATATGTAACTTACAAGTGCAATAATATATATATATATTATTAGTCATTTAAAAACCGGTTTGGATTTTTTTCTATATTTATTTATTACTGCTGCTAGCAACAAAATATACTGTCCTAGTATGTCTATGATTTATAATGTATATTTTTTTCTATGCAACTAGAATGACAAACAAGCTGACGGCCCACCTGATGGAAAGTGGTAACCGTCGCCTATAAATATGAGCAGTTTAATCTTATCAATTTTAATTTGATCAAATTTAAATATATAATCTTTCATGTAAAAAAAAAATAATTTTCCAAGTCGGTTTAGAATTGGCAGAGTTATGAGTAACAAACATAAAAAAAAATACAACCGAATTGAGAACACCATTTTTGAAGTCGGTCGAAAACAAATAGTGATGGCGATCATACGATACGATCACTCAGTACATTGTAATTATTCTAATATTTATGTGCAAGTACAAAGATTTATGTGCGACAAAATGTTTTACTAAACAGTCATTCTGGCATGAAATTGGACGTATATTATTTTTAATATTTAACTATTTATACGCGTATTATTATACTAGTATATAAAGTACGTAGTCCCTACTTTTATTTATTTATTTATACTTTTTTGTACATAAAAATATTTATTTATTTTATTTACACGCACACTAAACAAACTTTTCACTTAAATATTATCATTAATTAGATACAATCCTTCTTTAAGAAAATAATATAAATTATACATGTTACATATGACAAAACAACATTATAATGAAGATTGCACAATTATATAATAACATTACTATTTTACTTTGAAATTAGAATAAAAAGAAAAACATATAGAAAAAACATAATTACATTGTTATAATTTATTTTGAATAAAAATGTTGAACAGTCGAGCTTAATTCTGTAAAAGATTTTTTTCAACAAACCTTGAGTTAAAGAATTTATTAACAGCGTACAGTGTGCGTACAATAAAAAGTGGGAACAGTATGGTTGTTTCTACTAAGAAATAATAAATATGCTTATCTAAATATACATACATTCAAAATACACACATATATAACAAAAAGTTTTAGTTTAGAATTTATTGGCAACCCTAACATAAAATGCGCGTGCGCGTGGCACGAGCAATTTCTCAAAGGGCACGCCCCTTACACAAACGCATAGTCCAAACACTATGTTTACGTCAATTAAATTTGTTTGTCATGTAATATATTGTTTGGAATTTAATTCTCGATGATATATTTTCTGTTAAAGAGTGGCAACATTGCAACAATGTTTGTAACTGTTAGTATACTCTGCACGTTATAGCACGGTGCGAATGACAGCTGATGGATTTTTAGGGTTGATATCAATCTAATTTGTAACTAACACTCTCTCCCAATCAAATAATTTATTGAATCACTTAGTAACATTTTAGTATTTATTTAATATCACAAAGGTGGCAATTATATTTCTTTTTTATGTAACTTAGAATAACAGGCAAGTTAACAGCCCATCATCAGGTGGGCCGCCAGCAACTAAACACACACAACACTAAACAATTAACGGTTACCACTTTTTTTGATAGTATCTGTCATCTACAGACATAAACAGTACCGTTGACATAATAGAGTATACTATATTGCCCATGATACCTT